TACTCAAGTTCCAGTCTGAGCAGAAAGCAGACTGAAAAAGACATTATTAAAGCATTATATGGGATTTTGTTCTCAATAAGTATTTCACAATTTTATTTTACAGGTTTTTTTAAAAAAACTGAGGCCAAAAAGAGAACAATAAAAGTTGGTCAGTGTAATGAACTGCATGTGTCATCAATCCAGTAAAATTATTTAGCACATCTTCCCCACAGAAAGAGTATTTCTTACTGCAGAAACAGACTGTGGTCAATTTACTGCTGCTTTTCAACTATACAATATGCAAAAGCCTACAGAAGAGCATTTATTTTCTCAGTAAAGGAAACGTCAGCCATCAAGCCACTTGTTGCAGAGGTACTTAAAGTCTATTTTTTACAACAAAGATTCAAATGTAAGTAAAAAGGCAAGAGCAACTCCTTCACATTCCCACGAAAAAAAGCCACTGATGCGTGAAACTGTAGCTTTTGACACTACCAAATTCAAAACATTTTACATTGCCTGAATTCTAATACTCTGCAGCTTATTGTACGGAAAATCACAAGATTTATGATAAGTTGAGGAAAGCTAAGATATCATACAAGATAACATCAGATGCTTTTGGTATCTCAAAAGCCAGTATGGCAGGAAAGGGACCAGCTGATCAGAAATAAGCCAAGGAGCTTGCTCATGACCTGGACACAATACCTCTTTCTCCATCCATCTTGGCCAGCAGAAGACAGTTTAACTCATTTTCCCTTGAGTAATTCAAGGGAACAGGAGTTAAACACTCTCCTTATCCTGTCCCTGTCTTTTCCTAGTAAGAAGTATGTCCAGAAGTGATGAAGCAGATTCTTCTCCCATTCCTCCTAAAGCAGTCACCATCATTAACATTTCAGAGTTAAAACCATGGAGAAGATGGACTACACTTCACAACCAGTATAGCAAGAGATTCGTATCACCCCCAGAGTCCGACAGGACCCATAGCATCTTCAGAGCATTCTGCAAAGGCTGCTGAAACACCTGCATGTCTTTCAACAACAGAAATGATGGAGGACAAATCTGAACAGCATCTTTTAACACAGCATAACTCCACCCCAGCCCTGCTCACTGCACGTCCAACTCATCTCCCAACACGAACATGCAGAAAACTAACCACAAATCCACCTTCTTTGGAGTCCCCCAGATGCACAAGGTAAATACGCAGCTTGTGGTACAACTAATATCAGTTAAACTCACATTTCCCAAGTTTACACACACACACACACACAAATGCAGTAAGCCTGCAACTAAATAATGGCCTGTGCTCTCATAAATACTGATCCTTTAAGAAAACAAGCCTTTGCCCCTTCCTGCAACACAATACCCGGTGCTTTTATTCGGCATTTTTTCTAAATAGGCAAGAGGCATTTGTAAAACAGGCAAGGCTTGAGTTGTCAGAACAGGACAGATATTAAACGTTTCTAAAACCCAAAGGGGCAGGTTTCCTGGTTTCACTCAGTGTGTCAAGTGACAGCTTCACTGTGACGGGTCATTAGTGTGACAAAGAGAAAGCAGCTGGACATAGAGGGGCAGAGGCTAACAGAGCGATTACATCCTTAAATCAACTATAAAATGTTACAAAGGATGCAGAGAGGGGCAAAGGAGAGGATTATATTCAGGGGAATAAAGTCTGATAAAGCGTCTAGCTGCTAATCAGATCAAAGGAGTTTGTTTAGATAAAAAAAATTATCAAGACAGCTTACTCCTCAGAAAAAGCAAATTCTATTTGAAGGAGTATTTTAAAGTTACTAAAATTATTATTTCATGCAAACAATCCATTTTTTACCCTCCTAAATACATTTTGCAGTCCTCTATGAAGTATAAAAACATCTTTGAAGACCTAGTTCCTCCTATTTTGACAGCCCTCAGAAAGGAACAGAACTAAAAGGTATTGAGGTTTTTGCTCCTCTGCATTTTCCTTTCCTCCAAACGGGGTCAGTAAGATTTCAGCATCATCACCACAGCGTGGCAGTAACTTGGCAGGTGACACACAACCACTCACCGTTAGGTACATGCAGGACACCTGTGGACAGCCAAGGGCTGAATTAAGAGGAAAACCAAAAGAACACATTTCCCAGTCTTCCCATTGATGGGAACAGTAGTATTAAATTTCCAATAAAAGAGCAACTTCCAGGCAACTTAGTTTCATTAAAGAGGACTCCGCTTCCATGTGTTGTGGTCCAAAACCCACTTGTTACATTGTTTCTTCTAAAGTACACATTATTTACCTTTCCACTGAAATTGATATCACTGCTGCTCTCTCTCTCTCCATTAAACTATGTGAAAGAATTTTGACATTTCTTGGCAACTAAGAATTGATTGATAACTGATAATCCACACCAGATTACATGGAGATGTTTGCATGCAAGGCATTACTTCTAAATTCTTTTTTCTGAGCCCTTTCCACTGTGTACCTCTGTGCTCGCTCTTCAAGCCTTACATTCAATTTTATTGTGCTTTTGTCCCAATAAGCTGTTGGATTTTAAATGAGAGTTTAAAAAAAATTAAAAAAACAAACAAACAAAACAAACCAGAAGAAAACCCAAACAAACACAAACTTAAAAGATTTCAAGACAAAGAATCCCACACTTTCGGTCATCTTTGTTTAGAACAGAGAATATCCATATGATTAATTAATCTTTAAGCTTTGGGTCACACCTGATATACAGGAGGGGTCATTGGTTTCCATCAAAAAAGAATTGTTTGTCTGTTTTTTTAAAAGTATTTTAAATGAAAAATGTTAAGAAAAGGAAATATTAAGAGAAAAGATAAAATTAATTACCTGACTTGAAGGTAATTATCATCATTGCTGCTACTTTTTGTAAGAAACTAAACTTAAAAATGAAGCAACCCCCGGGTGTCCCTGTCCCTGCCGCCCCATGCACACACACATTTGGTACACACATTTTAAATCCTGATTTTAATGTCAGGTGAGGTGCAAGAAGAGCCTCAAAAAATTACACAGCAAGGAGCCAGAGTATTCCAAGAAAACTGAGGTTCCCTGGCTGAGTGTTTCATGACACACAGAGCCAATGAATGGGAAACACCAGGAGGAGTTTAATAACAGGGGTTCAGTTCCCACGTTCCCTGGCGAGCCCCACAGCACACAGTTTGCTGTTCCAGCTCCTCTCCCTCTCTTTGGTGAACCTTCTCAGCTAAAACAGCCACAGCACTTTCTGGTTTGTTTTCATTTCCATTCAGGGCCATTGCAGTTGTTACAACACAATCTCCATGAGGTTTCATGGCTCTGTCGGGTAGGGAAGCAACTCAGATTTTGGAGATGCACTTTAAAAGGCAAATAAATATGGAAATCCTGGCTCAGTAACAGTAAGAAGAGAAACAGTAAAACCAGTGTTTCTCCTAACGTCCCCTTGTTAAGTATCAGTTTAGCCTTTGCCATGTATGCCAAACTATTTGCCATGACTAATGTATATAATGGGAGTACATTTCATATTTTATCTCTCCTGAGAGACCTTGAGTTGGGAAAAAAAAAAAAAAGGAAAGAAAAAAGAAAAAGAAACCCCCACAAAATTACACAAAATAAGCACACAAGGTAGCAATAAAAAAAAAAAAACACATGCTGAACATAATGGGTTTGAATTAAAAAAAAAAAAAAAAAAGTTAGAGGTTATTTTCCTCAACAAGTTTCCTCCTCTCTGCTATAGGACATAAGGCACTCAAAGCATTCAGCACCAGCCTGCTTACTCCTGTCTGCCCCCAGAACTGGCACAAACTGATGACGACTCAGGCGCAGATGTTGAAAATTCCATCTTCCTTCCAGAGGAGCTCAAAATCTCCAGGGCACAACCCCTTAGGAAAAAAAAATATTAACTATGGTTTTCCCCCCATTGTTTTAAGACATCTTTATTCAATGTGTAAAATAAACGTATGCTCCTGTATCAACACAGGGTGTTTAAAAACTGCTCCATTTCCACTGGACAGATATTACCCATGACAAACCATTAGAACTGAAAGCATGCAACCAGCCATTAAAACATACAAAGAGATTGCATTTCAATACAATTAGGTCTCCTGTAATTATAGAGTTTGCTTGCAGCTTCTTTGAAGCAAGAACTTTCACAGAAAGCACTCTTTGTGCAACATCTTTATAGTTACTGCATGGCCACCACTCAGTCCTTTCTCTCCGTTATTTCCAGGCAGTTGCTCCATCAGACTGCAATGAATCACACACCTGGAATTATTAATAGGAGCCTCCACTCTCTCATGCTGCTTAGACACTCCAGCCAACCTAACAGCAGGTGCTAAAATTTGTCACACGCTGAGCTGTCATCTAAAAATTACATTTTGCAATGCCACCTCCAAATTATAAACGAAAATCTTCTCATAAAAGCAGACTTACCTAAAGAGGGGGAAGAAAACAAACCCAAAACAGCAGTTCCAAAACTGAATAAAAACCGTTCTGTGCAGAACAGGAATTTGAGGTCTTTTCAGAGATTCCCATACGTGTTTCACTTGCTGGCACTACAGGACCTACCCTGTTCCCCACAACCACGGTAGAAACCGGCTATGAACACCAACCAACACCATCCCAACTGTCCTCCTTCTCCTCGGTCTTCGGCTTTATTTCATATGCAAGCGTATGGTTTTGTAAGTCATTCTCCGTAGCGTGTAAATTCAGGTTTCCCTTCCCCACCAGCTTTTCATTCTCAGCTCTACAACCTCAGGGCTTTGACTGCAATAAGGTTTTTACTTTTGGAAAATCAAACATCACCACAACCTGTGAGAACAGAAAGCTTTAACCGCTCTGTAAATCTGACGATTGGACCTTTATTATCAACTGAAATGACGTTATCACTCGGGGGGAAAAAACCAACATGTAGACAGCATATTTCAATTTATGTCTTACTCTATTCCGGTACTATCAGCAAGGAATTTCAAACTAGGGATTTGGTTATATTTTAATATTAAAATTACATTATAGATATTAAAGCAGAGAGAGATTTAAATGATAAAGTACATGCTACCTGCATTGGACAACTTCAGCCAATGTAGCTGCTACCAAAAACATTTCAGATCTCCAGTTTCACTAAATTTTAACCCCCGTTCAATGCTCAGCATTCACAGTGAAAGTTTACCGGCTGCCCATGGAGGAAGTAATTTTTTTAAGTTATATTTGTCTTCACCTAACACCTGTAAAAATTTCTGTCAGAAGTAGTGTGGGAAAGAAAGAAGGAATCCAGTGAGCTTTTTCAGCTTAAATACCATAAGGAAAAATAGAAGTGTTGAAACAGGGAGATCCTGTTAAAGACCACACAATATTCTGACCTACACCGCTCTTAATTAGAATTCTGTGACTGCAGACTTGTTTACTGCAGCTCAAAAAGCAAAAAGATGGCAGTTGTTAGAAAAAAAAAAAAAAACAAAACCAAAACAAAAACAAACAGTCAAGAAAACAAAAATGCTCTGGAAAAGAGGTCAATGTATCTTTCCTAGTAATGAAATTGTGACTTCATCTTGCAGAAGAATCACTGCTTTCCTTTTCATCCTATTCTGCCAGTTGCAATAACTGTTTTAGCTTATTAGTAGTTAATTCAGAAGAGCAATTTAAGATAACCCCTAACATCGCACTGCCTAATAGTCACTGAATATCCAATTTCCAATTCAGATTATAAACCACCAGCTTATTATCAGCAAAGCAAAATACAATTTGCCGGCGTTTCCAATTAAATGCAGGGTGGCGATTAATTAATTATCAGGTAAACACAGAGGGGAGCACCAAATCATGCCCCACGGTTACAAAACCGTACGGTCGAGTTGCAGGACCTTAGATGGAGACGTTCGACACTTGCCATCCTGCGTCACGTTACCATGACAAAGATGGGTCAGAACACGGCACCTCTCTCCAATAAAGATATTTCCATTAAAGATAGGCTGGAAAGGAAACCACTTCAAGTTTTCCTACCTATAACTGGCCAGCAGGCAGGGCCGGCAAAAGCGCGATGCCTTTGTAATGTAACATGCGCCACATCAGAAATAGAGTCGTGAAGCATCTTGACAGCTTCACCTATCTGGCCAGTAATTATGCATCCACATAGCCTTGGAAAACACGAAAAAACAAGGGCCATCTTTCGAAACCGTAGCTCAACACGTAAGACTGATTTTGAGCAAGTGTAAATTACCCCCTGGTTGCACAGTAATTGGTACGTGGCACTGCAGCTGCCCAGCGGGCTTAGGAAGCGACCATTAATGTTTCAGTTTCAATGCAAACTCCCCAGTCCATATTTCCGATTAGGAATAAAAATGCGGATAACAAGAAAACATTAACGTTTGCACCATTGAGTTACAAAACACGACGTAAAAGCAAACGGACAGAAAGAAAACCAAGCATCGATAAATTTACAGGCCGCACTCCCCAGCGAATTTAAAAGCCTGGTTTTATACATGTTTATATCAGATAACACAACTCCCACCTCCAAATAACGTTCCTACTCTGCAAGTTGGCCGTAAGGCTGAAGCATACACACACGCCTATGTTTATATACGTGTACTATGTGTTTTGCAAATACAAGTGAGAGAACCAAAAGCGTTTCCCCCCGTTAGTTACGTGGGGTGGGTTTTGTTGGCAAACAGAGAGAATGAGGAGGGAGCCAGGGCCTTTGGGGAAGGGGTAGTTGCAGGAAAGCAGCCCCAGCCCAGCTGCGAGGCGGCCCCAAGCTCGGCAGTGCTCTGTCACACGGCCGGACACGGGCTCAGGCCGGCCGGTGGCCTGGGACATAATCTCCACAGCGTTTCTCCAACCCATGCCCGCCTGCGCAGCGCCCTGCTCGCCAGCTCAAGCCACGGATCTTAAAGTCATAGAAGGGTATCGTAATGGCTCCATAACTGGCCACCCGTTCCTACGTCTGCTTCTCTGTTAAAAGCCCCCATCTCTTTTTAACACGTTACGACTTCGGAAAAAAATCGGATACAGTGCATGCAACCCATCTTAAATCAGCCCAGACCAACTCGTGTGTTACCCGTGCTTCACGTACTAAATACGGAGCATTCGGTTTGCCTTCGACCTTCTCATTTAGCCAGAAATAATTCTCATCTAGCCAAAAAAAAAAAATATATATATATTGTTTACACCACTTCACGTGTGTGGCAAAAGTACTTTTTCCCCCCCTTTCTTTCCGGATGGAAAACCAACCAGCAAAACGCAAAACGCCGTTAGCATCGCTGCCCTCATTAATAAGCCTCCCCACGCACATTTTCTGGGACAGTTTTGCAGAGATGCGGGTGTTTCAGGCACAAGGGGAGCCCCCTCGGCCCCAGGCCTGGGCGGGGGGGGGAGACGGCGGAGCCCCCCGGCAGAGGAGCGACCAGGGAGAGGAGAAGAAAACTTTCCCGTCCGGAGGAGACGCGGTGCCGGGGGGAGCCCTCGGGGAAAGCCAGAGGAGCGGCTTTTCCAGGCGAAAAACCGAGGAACGGGACCGGTGCCGGTCTTTAGGGGGACAAGGGGGCACCGCTCGGCCGGTACCGGGCCGACCCTCCGCCCGCCCGGCTGTCAGTCTGACGGCGGGGGAGGGAAAAGGGGGGCACCGCCGCCCCGGGGAGGGAGAGCGACCCCTCCGCCTGCCTGCCCGCCCTCCCGCCCTCCCGGCACCGGCGAAACGCGGGGGCGGCTCTTACTTGTGGAGGAGCTGGGGGAGGCTGGGCGGCGGCGGCGGCATCCCTCGGCCGGTGCCCCGGTTGGCCGCCCCGTTGCGGGCATCGCTCTCCGGTGGGTCAACGCCACTGGGGGCCGGGGCCTGGCTCATGGCAGCGGCGGGGACCATACGGGGGAGGGCCCCGGCGGCGGCGGGAGGCGCGGGGTGGCCGCGCAGCCCCTCCGCCGCGGCGGCGGGAGGGAGGGAAGGAAGAGAGGAAGGAAGGAGGGGGCAGAGGACCGGCCCTGAAGGCAACCGCCCCCCCCCCCCCCCCCC